CCGGCTCTGATCATGAATATTGTATTTATGACGCGCCTCTGCCGATTTATCGGTCTGTAAAGTTTGCTTTATGTTGCTCGCCAGTCGCACCAAATATAAGTTCCCCGCCCCTTCTCTCTCTCCCCTACCTTTTCTCCTTCCCCGCCAACTTACTCTTCATTCCGTCGCACTGCTGCTGCGCCAACTGCAGCTCCAGCACACTTTTCTCCGCCACAAAATCATACAGCGTACATTTTCGCAGTGAGGTACTATTTGTTTGCATTTCTTTTTTTCTGGTTTTATATTCGGATTTAATGGGTTGTGGGCTAAGTGGGGAGAGCTAGGGGGCTGCAAAGAGCAAACTACCGCGGTTTGGGGGGAGGGCGGGGTTCAATTGCTGCACAACCACTGCTCCCCACCCTCTACCCCATCCCCCTTTCTCAACTCGACAGTATCAAGTCAAATTCCGAGGCGTCGGTCCTTGGAGACGGCAGCCAGGCGGCGGTGGGGCGAGTGGCAGGCGCGGCACTCCCATTCACTTTTCTTCATACCAGGTCTGCTCGACGCGGCAGTCGGGCGAAGCCAGGGTTTTTCCTCGACGTCGGAGGAGAAGGAGCGCAAGAGCGCCGTCATCATGCACTTAGTGCCGCCCGCGACGCTCTCCCCCGCTCCCCCTTTAGTGATGGGTGATGGCCTCCGGCTCTCCACACCCACCCTCCTCACTCTTCCTCATCCTCTTTCTCTCCAGCGGTATTGCGTCGCACTGTTTGTTTCAGGTGAAATAGTGTATTTTTGGGCTGACGGGGGAAGAAGAAGAAGAGCGGGTAGAAAACCAACGTCACTGATTGTTCGAGAGATTCCCGCCTCTACATCACACCGGTAGAGCGGGTAGCGGACCTACCAATCAGGAATCTTTATGTTCTACCCGCTTTTCTTCTGCCTCCGTTGGCCGAAATACACTATACTCCCACTGTCAGACGAGAGATACATTATTCAGCGAATTTTTATGTTTTGTTTGTTTTTTGCGCCCCTCGCGCTTTCTTCGTAATTGGCAAAACAGTCATTAGTTTGCTCCTCGCTCGGCGGAAGGTTTTCAAGAAGCGAGACGCGCGCTCGCTCGCCTGCCGCCGCCGCCGTAACCCCCTGGCACGTCGCGGTAGTCGGCGCTGTTTGGGGAGAGGAGGGAGAGGAGGAGGAGCAGCGCGCGAAAGGAGCATTACTTGGCTTCCTCTCTCTCTCTCGCTCTGCTCTCCCTCTCGGCGCCGGCAGCCCCGGGGGCCCCCGACGGAGCAGCGCCCGGCTGGAGGGCCGGGATAAGGATTTTTGCCACCTGTGCGGTCGTGGTTATTTCATGCCGCTGCTTGCTGAGGCGCTGCTGAATACGACCTGGCGGCTGAGGGGTGAGGAGGAGGGGGATCGGGGGGCTGTACTTCAGCTCGATGGGGTGGGGCAGCAGCGGTAGCAGCAGCGAAAGCAGAAGCGGTAGCAGAAGCGGTAGTAGCGGTACGGGGGTAATAAGTGTCGGGGAGCCCGCGCTGTTTGCGCCCCGCGGAGTGTTTGTGGAAGGAGTGGGGCCGCCGGGGCAGCGGCAGCAGCACCACCCGGTCCGCCTGCAGCTGCCACGGCGCGGTTGT